AAGTGTTACAAAAAGTTTTGCTTAGTGTTTCCGAAACGAAAGTCAAAGATTATCATTATTGTTATCATTTTAAAGATCTGCCTATTTAAGCGTTAAATACATTGAGGCAAAACGTTTTTGTTTTTTTTAAAGACTATGATGTAGTAGAATGAAAATTTAGGAGCTTAATTCATAACAATAGAAAACATTTTATTAATAAACGATGGCACTGTATTAAAAGAACTCTGTCTTAAGAGTTGGCTTTCTCTATATAAATTTTTCGAATATTTCACTCGACGAAATCTTCATTTTAAACCCATCTCACAGTTCAAACTAAACTACCGCGTTTGAGAAAACATATTTTCTACGTCAATGAAATTCTGTCAGTGGTATTCTAATTTCCTATACCACCGAAACGAACAATTAGCACACAATTCGACTTGGTGATTTGTTTCAGCAAATAGAAGCGTATTCGCAAGTAAAATATCCAACACTGATGTGTGATGCTCTTTAAGAGATTAAGACGTGGCATGAGACAGACGTAAGCAGATACTCTTTAAGAGAAAAGTCAACCTTTTCTTTAAGCACAATTAAAATTTGGCAATATAATAAGCAATATTGATAATTCTAGTAAATATAAATAGGAAATCAGTAAAAAAAAAACAATTATTTAAAACAGATTTAGAGAACATTACTAGATATGCTAGATATGCGTTTATGCCAATAAATCCACTAATCCATTTCTCAACCGAGGGGGGGGGAGAAATTTTCTAGTTTCAGGGGAAGGAATGCTGTCAGCTTTTTTTTTTTTTTTTTTTTTAGTAATTAAATTTATTTTATGAATAAAATAAACTATTTTTATTCAAGTTTTGTGTTTATGAACATTTTATAGACTTCTTCTTGTTTAATCTATAAAACCATTTTAAAAATAATCTAATAATCTAAATATAAGTAACTGTAGTATATGTATTTTTCGAGCTTTGGATAGGAAGGGGGATCGTCTAGCAATGATGAAAAGGATGCACGGGGCAAAAAAAGTTTGCAAATGACTGCGGTAATCTCACGATAAATGTTATATCTCTTTGTAAATCTTTGATGATGGATGCTACACAGAGAGTATTGTAGCTATATTTTAAACGAATTACTTAGTTACAGAAATTGAAATTATTATATTTATACTTTACCGAACTATTTAATTATGGAAATTACATCTATCTCCAGAATAGTAATGAACGCATTATACGAATTTCAAGTAAAATGAATTGCTCAGGATGCATTTTATAAGAAAGTACTTTGAAAGCGGCATCTTCAAAAAGTAAACTTTTCTGTGTGTTTTACATTATGCATTGAGAGAGAGACAACCTGTCCCTGTAGCTAGAACAAAATTCTAGCGCTTAAAGTACTAGACACTGTTAAAGTAGCACAATAAAATATCAAAGAGCAATTGTTGTTATTTTGGGGGGGGGTGAAGTCTTCTCAGAATCTTAGGTTTTATATTACCTATCTGATTTCTTATCGGATAACGTTTCGAGCCTTCAGAATTTAAATTGTATTTAAATATTTAATTAAATTATAAATTTCTCTTTGATGTTATTAGCAAATTAACCTACTTAATAATATGGCTTAAGGTTTTTTTGAATTTCAGTGTGACTTTAGCATGATTTAAGTGAAATCACCACGATCTCAATGACTCAGAATGCTTTTTAAAACCAAATGTTTTCGAAGTTTAAATGCGAGTTTAATTTCGAGTATACCAATGCACGTGATGCTATAAAAGCAGCACCTACATAATAGCGAAATTAAAATATGCTATCATTTATTTGTATATTATGAATACAAGGTAGACGATGAGAAATAATACTCCGTAAAATGTTTCTTCTAAAATGCAGTCTCAAAGCATTCCGTAGCGAACATTTAGAAAGCTTGATAAACACTTTAATTATTCTTCCTGATTCTTAGTTTAATTCGTTTATTATTCACAAAGGTTGGTATGTTTAATGTATGAGCATTTATGGGTAAATATGCAATTATTAAAAGTTAATTATTATTAAATATTAATAAATGTTTCATCGAAAAAATATACAACTGTGTAAGAAAGTTTGCATAATAAAGCTTTAGCGAGCAAATTAAAAATTTACAAGAAGAATTACTTTTCATTTGCACCTCACTTTTATTCCTATACAACCGGCTGAAATTATGAATTTATCACTGAACACTTGCAAACTACTATGATGCGGGTTAATCATTAAGAACATTGAACATTATTTTGCTAATTTCAATTTCATTTTTACTTCTAAACTTGCTGCAAAACAGCATTTCGTGTGGGGGGGGCTGAATATTGGTTGATTTTCTAACACATCCTTCTAATTACATGCTGGAAGTTAATCAAAGAATGTGTATATATGTTACATACGTCAATTATAAGCAAAAAGGAAGAAATTTAGAACCAAATCCACAAAGACATGAAAGAAATGAAATTCATATTCTTAACTACTCTGAATTTTTTTAAATATTGCATAATTTTTAATAATATACAAATTTAATTATTACTAATAATAGTCGTATTATATAATAATTACTGATTATATTCCTATTTACATGATTACTGATAATATTCCTATTTACATAATTACTAATAATATTCACATTTACATAATTACTATTGTTTCACAAATCGCTTTATGAAGATATAAATTATTCAGATGTATAAAAAAAGAAACATTAAATCCAAAATTTAATACCGTTACTTCGCTTTAGTAAACTACGCTTTTTATAGAAAATTTTTGTTAATAGCATAAATTCAGTATACCCAACAAAAATTTAAATAGTAAAAAAATTTTGAGAAATTGAAATAGGGAAATAAGCACTTTGGTTTAATATTAAGTAGCAACTGGTGACACAAGACACTGAATTGAAAATGACTATTATTGTTATTTCATACAATTTCTCGCTAGTTATCCGAGTTAAATTCAGCCATCTATAAACGAGGAAAGACAAGGGACAAGAAATTACATGAAGAAAAAAGGTCACTCAATTTTTTTGACACATTATTTCAGATTTTATCTTGAAACTGAATATAACAATGATACTTAATCGTTATTTAATTTAGGTATTGAATAAAAGTAATCACCAGCAGAAATTAATATTTAATTTTAGTTTTAGATGAACATGTACGTTAAAAAAGGACCGCTTGAGATCAATTGATTGCGTCACAGTATAAAACGTATCGGGCATTACGAAGATGCTTTCGCGGAGAATTTGCTAGGGAAAATTGCGTCTTTTTTTTACCTCACGAATAAGGAGAAATATGAACCCTCGCAAGTTGAATTCCGTCCCTTCAGAGTGAAATTCCTTATTGTGGTTAAAGTTTAAACTCTTATTCTCTGAAAGGGGTTTAAGAGGGTATAACAGCTACTTTACATGAGCTGCATATATAGTAAAAATCACCTTAAAATCCGAACTTGCAAGAACTAACCGAACTAGCTGAAAATAAATAGCAAATATTAGATGCGCATTATTCAGTCTTCTATCTCTGTAGTTACAGAGAATTAATTATAATAGACACATTTACGCATGTTAATTAAGAAAGAAGCTTCTGTAAATGAATCGTGAACTACTATGAATTATCAACTTCCAAATGATTATGGAGTATCAACTTTCAACTTTACAAATGCTGAGAACCAACTTATCATTTGTTCATATCTGCATAAGATTAAACATTATTACGCAGTCGTATCCAAAACTTGTATAAAAGTGAATGTAATTTATGGAAAAGTCTGCTGAAAACCAGCTTGTGAATGGTCTGTCTCTCTGCAACAAATGGCCTGTTCGCGAAATTCTAAAACTGACCATATTTTAGAAATTCTTCAGTACGCTTTTTGGCTAAAATACAGGCTAATCTAACTTGCGGTTAAAACAATGGCAATATGCTACGTTTGAATGCATCTTTGCAAAATGTCGAGAAGTATTTTATGAGGATTTAATCACGTACCTTACCATTTTAATGGTCATATTTTATTAAAAACACTTTTTAGAAGCGTAGAAATGTATACCTCCTCTAGTTCTATCTATGCATAATTCTATATTTTAACCTGATGTAACTTTATGCTTATATCGCATAAAATTACAGAAATCTATTCATACAAGACGGAAGTAATTACTTTTTAAAAGTAGGTATCAAAATTATTGCCTTTTCTCGCCTGTATCAAATGAATAACACTGTAAAAATATTTCTTTCAAAAAACTTAAGCAGACAATGATATTGTCATATCTAAGGTTATTATTCAATTTTAAACTTCGATATATCAACCTGAATGTAAATAAAAAAATAAATACTAAAATGCATCAATTTTATCACAAGTTCCGAAATACTTAATAAAATCTAACATTTATGTTTTTAAAATTTAATATCCGTGCATTTAAAATCTAATATTTGTACTTATATTTCGTTTTATGCTGACGAATTTTCAGACAGCTAATTCGCTGAGTTTCTTTTTCTGTTTTTTTTTTTTTTTTGGGGGGGGGTTGTTGTTGTTTTGTTTTGATTGTTGCCCTGCCCCCGCTACCTTCAGTAAACTAAGTGGGGAATGATCAATTCTAATTGGATGATTGATCTGATTTACAAGTGGATGTGAAGAGTTTCTCAAACCAAAAATTTAAAAATTATAAAAAAATAAATGTTCTTAAAAATTACTCTCGAGGTATGCAGTAAGTTTGCAGATAAAACAATACTAAAAGTCAAAAATTATCAAAAACTAACAGGTTTCGAAAAAAAGAATGTTTGCTTCGATTTACGAAATTTAAAAATATACAATCTGATCACACAGTTAAACTAATTAAACAGGCAATTTTATATTACAAAAATAAAATTTACAGTTTTAACTTTTTACGTAGTTCAAAATAGTGATTACGTGGCTCCCAGAGAAAAGAAAAAATATATATATACATTAATACACTTTTAAAATGGTACGATACGTGTTTCCGAATGATAACAAGCAGTAAAAAATAAATTCATGACTTACTAGAGAGTGGTGCTACTTCAAATTTCTTCATACAACTTGTGTTTTCACACGTTGTGGTACACTACTTCTTACACCTCGTTTCATTCTATAGTCCCAAATCATAATTAACAACAGCAGCAGAACAAAAGGAATAATTATTTCGATCACAATCGTTTGTTATTTACAGCAGTCAAAAACACGTTTGTTTCTGTGGCTGAAGGAGCACATCAAGATTTCTCTTCAATACATTGACAATGGATTCGTCCCTGTTTGGCTGGAGATCCCAACAAACCCGATAAAGGGAAAATTTTTCCGCTATTGCTCTCGTCTCTGCACGAAAAGGCGGGGTGTAGTGACGTCACACACGGTGGGAAGCCCTCATTGGCACGACTCACCTTCCGGTAGCGGAAAAGTTTGGACGTCCAATGATGCCAGCCGGTAGGTAGGTTCTGATGATGCATTCGGATTCTCTGGCAGAGATTATGGAGTAGAGCAAGCATCGGATTGAGTTCTTGTCATTTCATTCATGCCTCCTCTCTTCTGCCTTTCCACCCTCTTTGATTCCGATTACGCAGAAGAATCGGTTACTCGGCAAATGTAAAATATAAATTGCGTAGTTATCTTTATATGCTAAGCCTGATAATGATCTTTGTCTTTTTATCTTTTTAACATTACATGTTATATGACATTTATATAATGATGAGTCTATCTCTTATTTTAGTTGCACACTGAGATATCATAAAAGAAAGGGCATTTTCAATAACTTCAATCAAACATCAGAAAAGATGCGGTTAACAGTTAATTATTTCCTTAAGTATTTAATTTTCTTTTTGAAAGATATGGAATCAATAATAGTGAAGAGGATACGAGTCCTAAATATTCTCGACTCCGAATTCTAAAAAAAATATTAAATGTTTATGGGTCTAGAATTATTTATATAATAGTAACAACAGGAAAAACGGAGGAGAAAAATAAATAATATAACGCGAAAAGTGAATCAACGCAAAATGCCAAAAACGAAATTAATAGTCCTTCTGCGTAAAATGCCCCTTTGGACTAAAAATGTGAAAGGTTTCAGATTTTAAATTACGTCCAAAGGGGCGTTTTTTAAAATATTTTTTGCGTTACTTTTCTTTATTAAATATCATGTTCTTCGCACTTAAATCATGAAATTCAGTTCAAGAGCAATATAGCAAAATAATTTTAAAATGAGCATATCTTTAGAATTTCCGATACACAGTCTCCCGCGCTAGAGATTTTTTTTTTTTTTTTTCCTGTACAACGTTGCCATTGCTTGCTTTGAAGTCTTTGAGTATGTTAATCAAAAATTCGTTAAAGCTTTATAAAATATGAAATCGATAACAAAACAAATTCCAAATTTCAACTTTGTGCTTTCAGATGCCCATATTCGCAGGAGGATTACGTCATTCAAAATTGGATGGCTCTAGGAACCGTTGTTTTATCACAAGCGAGAAACATACATACATTTATGCAGATTCTTCATTATTTAATTTCTTTAAATATAATACAGGGCGATAATATTTGGTGGCAACAATTTGAAAAGTGAATTAACGTAAAATGCCAAAACGAAATTAATAGTCCTTCTGGGCAAATTGCCCCTTTGGACTCATTAGAAGCCATTAGTTAAAAGCAACATTTAAAATCTGCATTTAATAGGGAACAAATTAAAAACTCATCTATATTTATTAAACGAAATACACAGTTAGAATATCTTTTTAATAATGGCGGGGCGCTTTATTTCATAGCCATAAACCTTGAGCCACTACAGGAACCGGAAGTGGTTTATTATGGAGGCTATTTTATTATTGAAGCATCTAATAATGTTATTATGGAAGCATCACCGTTGCCACCTAAGATAGGGACGGGCAGATGCAACCATGTCTTCTCCGGGATTCGAACGTGGGGCCCAACGCTACAGCAGTCAGTGTTACTAGCCACTATGTCGGCTGTGCGGCGTAACAATTAGAATTCTTGAAACTTAAACCTCAAAATTTGGCAAAAAATATATATATATTATATATATATATATATATATATATAATTTTATTTCCTAAACAGTATTGATTAATTATATATAATGAAAAATATTTAAATATATATATATATATAATTACAATTTATAATAAATAAATTTATAATAATAATTAATAATACAATAAATAAATAAGGGATTTCAGTCCCGAAGGACTATTGCTTTCGTTTTGGCATTTTGCGTCGGACTCATAAACGTCGGTTCACTTTTCAAACTGTTGCCACAAAATGTTAGAGTCCTGCATTATATTTGAAGAAATTAAATAATGAAAAATCTGCATAAATGATTGTCTATTTCTCGCATTGTGATAAAACAATGGTACATAGAGCCATCGAATTTTGAATGACGAAATCCTACTGCGAATATGGGCATCTGAAATCCCAAATTTGGAATTTGTTTTATTATAGATTTTATATTTTGTAAACTTTAACGAATTTTTGATTTACAAACTCAATGCTTTAAAAGCGAGAAATGGCAACGTTATATAGAAAAAAAAATACTTTTATCTCCAGCTCGCGAGACTGTGTATATCGGAAATTCTAAAGATATGCTTAATTTAACATTATTTTGCGATATTGCTCTTGAACTGAATTTTATGGTTTAAGTGCAAAGAACATGATATTTAATAAATAAAGGTAACACTCAAAACGTTAAACAAACGCCCCTTTGAACGTAATTTAAAATCTGAAAAATTTCAGTTTTTTTTTTTTTTTTTTTTTTTTTTTTTTTTAAATTTTTTTTTTTTTTTTTTTTTAACATTCCTTCAGAATTTTTTATAATTAAAGCAAAGGGGGATCCGAGGATTATTTTAAGAGTTAACATTCTTAAGCACTAAACATGGAACGCTAAACTGTCTCAAGTAAATTATTTAGCGGTAGGGAACGCTCACAGATGATAGTAATTTTATTAATTGCTAGTATCAGGTAGACTCACAACCAGGCCTGACGCCAACTTAACACCTCCATATTAGGCATTTGGTGCGTCTGTAAGGCACCAACAAGAGTATATGCCCAGCGAACCACCACCAACAAGAGTATATGCCCAGAGAACCAGAAACCACCAACAAGAGTATATGCCCAGCGAACCACCACCAACAAGAGTATATGCCCAGAGAACCAGAAACCACCAACAAAAGTATATGCCAACTCACCACCAACAAGAGTATATGCCAACTCACCACCAACAAGAGTATATGCTACCTCACCACCAACAAGAGTATATGCCACCTCACCACCAACAAGAGTATATGCCAACTCACCACCAACAAGAGTATATGCCACCTCACCACCAACAAGAGTATATGCCAACTCACCACCAACAAGAGTATATGCCACCTCACCACCAACAAGAGTATATGCCAACTCACCACCAACAAGAGTATATGCTCAGCGAACCAAGGACCACCATGGCGCGCGGCTTTATGACCCTGAAGATTTGACTGGTCGTCAGAATGCTCCTGCTAGTATTTCGCGGACAGCCCTGCGCTGAAGAGATTACACAGAATTCAGTGGACAACGGACTGACCGTTGCACCGCTCCTGACGCCTAAATGGGATCACACGGAATTCGGATCGAACGGTAAGCCGCGACCACTACCGATAGCACCAGTTTGGCGACTTAACAGCCAATCTCCTTTGATCGAACCGTATAAAACACCCTTCCCTTGATATTCTGAAACCGTCACTGCCACCAGAATGCTACTGTCATAGTATAATAACTAAGCCAGCAAGTGCACCCCTGGGGGGGACCAGATGGTACTGATGATCCAGAAAGGGCTAAAACTGCAACAATCGCCATTTTAAATGAGTTCTTCTACCGGTGGTCAGTAAAAATAGTCTTTCCAAAGTTTTAAGTTAAAACATTTAACGGTCATTTTAAGAACTTTCGCATTCCTTACTGGGTAGTTTCCTAATGCAGTGGAACAACACGTCCAGCTAGCAGTCGCAAGGCCCGGTGTTCGAATCCCGGCGACCACATTGCTGATTTCTAAAGTTTCCTGAGTGTGAAAAATCCTAATCACTGCACAGCGGCGATCAGAGTAAAATGTGGTGAACGATAAATTATTACCACCAGGATTTGGCGATTGGATTCTCGCCTTTTCAATCACCCTTTAAGTGGGGAGAGAATATAAAGTATTTTCTCCTCCCTCCTGAGCTCTTTCGTCATGTGATTCGCAGCATGTTCGGCTGGCAAGTTAGAATCCCGGCGAAGGCACTGCTTATTTTTTCGTGTTTCCCGTGCTGATAAAAACCTTAATCACTATAACAAGTTAAGGTTTGAAGGATTCGAATGAGAAAAAATGGGCGAAGATTTGCGTTTTCGAATATCGAATGTTTTTTTTTTTTTTTTCAAGATTCGTGGGATTCAAGATTCGAACGCTCATCCTTAATTATTAGTTTAGAATGAATCTGATTACAAGGAATAATATTTTTTCCCTACCGTGGTTTTTCTTTTACCTAAAATTACATATCATCTAAAGAGAGTTATCTTCAAAACAACCAACAACCAACAGAATTATGACTTTCTCATCGCCCATTAAGATTTACCGGACATAAATATAAATAACGGCATACCTGATAAAGAGACGCCATCTAACCAGATCTGAAGCAGATTCGTTTCTTGTTTTATGAATTGAGTTGCTTATAGTTTTATTCACAGATTTCATAACTAGGCAAATTAGAAATATTTGTTCCAAATAATGTGCGATATGATGTCCGATGACTTGTACGGGTATACAACAGCGTGTTTTCATTCTGGCAATAACATTGCTAACCATGATTTGAGGAATTAATTTCCACTACTATGGCAATGAGGTCTTCAAGGCGTTTACATGAGGCTCATATCACACATGCATTTGTTTCATACCAACCAGAGCTTAAATTGCTCCGGAGCCGAGCTTCGGCACTTCTTAGTTTTGGGGATAAATCATAATTCTAGGCTAAACGCACCGGAGCTCTAAATATGAAGGATCCGGCACTTCTTTTATGTAACTGAACAACAATTTCAGTAGAAATTTGATCTCGAAAATTGTGTTTTTTTCAATAAAATTCTATTAAAAATCGCTTATTAAATTTTAGTTCACCTCTTTACATTTTATTTTACTTATTTAATTCCCTTAATCTTTAATTACTTAAATAAACACTAATAAATTAATTTTTATTTAATTAAATAATAATTATGAATTAAATAATAATTGATAAATGTTAATTAAG